GATTTGTTTATAGATAAGAGATGGGACATGGGATGAAGAGATCATTGGTTGTAAATTAAGACGAAGTAAAAAGCTACTAGAATTGTTTATATCTGTTGTGATGAAAGTGGAAGTCATTTCTTTATATATTTCTTTTCTTTTTCTTTACTATATTTTCTTTCTTTTTCTTTCTTTCATCTACATTTTTCTTTGCACTTTTCACTCTTTCTTTCTATTCCTTTTTCTTTTAGCTTGTATTGGTTTTTACTACTGCAATTATAATTATTTTTTTAAAAAAGGAATGGTTTTCAGAATTGCCAGCAATGTGACGTGTAAGATTTCTTACTCTCTGCCCTTGACTTCTGCAATTATGTATTCTACTATCCCTATATCTGTTTTGCTGCACACAACAGCAGGGAAATGGCAAATAGCAAAAGGAGGAGGAAACTGCACTGTATATGTGGGTAAGCATGTTTGTATGAGAGGTATCTCAGAAATGAGTTATTTTTAAATGGGCTAGAACCTCGTCCTTCAACAAACTAAACTTTGAAGACAATCCACACCAAGGAGATAGACAAAGCTATATGCTTTTTATGTGTAGAATATTTTTCAAAGCACAGTTTTGTTCTGGCTTGCTTTCATATCAACTGGCTTGTTTTAAAAGGCCATTCAACAATTCAAATGTATCTTTAAACACCATTTTCTGCAGTGCATTTCTATTCACATGTACTATCAACGTAGGACACACTGAATAGTTTTTTCTTACATAAAACTAAAAAGCTACATAAGTATTTTTTAAGAATTAACAAAAAAACCTAAGGCTATTATATATCAATTAATGTATTAGTCTGAAAAGTGCAAGTTACTTGAGCCTATTAAATATCACTTCAATTCTTATTTATACATTTATTAAAAAGGCATGTGGCAGCATTTCCAGGTATGTATCCCTCAAAATGTGGCTGCTGGACAGCAGAATATTGGCGACAGAACATAACACTGAATTTACTACATCTTAATTTTTCTCTGCATTCAGAAAGCAAGTTATGGCAAAGAGACAAGTGATAGTCCACTGCTTGCTGCCTGCGCTTAAAGACTTTTTATTTTCTTTTTTTAGTTTGCAGAAGCTCTGCCAATTTAATCTAAAGATAGTTACATTTGCTAAATAGGACTAGTTATTTACCATGCTAGCTGCAGAATAATGTATCTAGATCAGAGATTCACAAGTGATAGCTATTTTTGAAGTCTACCTCCAATAAGCCTCAGTCAACTTGTCCCATAGTTGAAGATTGTGGAGGTTGTCCAAAATATATGAAAGGTATCAGTTTTCCTTGCCTTAACTGAGACGAAGGAAAGGAGAATAAAGTTTAGATGGGCTGCTCATGTATGCTATGTTTAATGTAATTTGGAGCAGCACAAGAGTATTATCACTATTAATACAATCATGTTGAGTCAGCTATTGCTTATCTCTGACTTCATAAGTGATTGCTCATCTTTGTGATGTTTAAAGAGAGCCACCCTTGTAATGCTATGAAAATATACAGGTAGTCCTTGCTTAACGACCACAATTGGGACCGGAATTTCCATCCGTAAGCAATGTGGTCGTAAAGCGAGATGTCATGTGACCGCATCACTTAGCAACTGCAATCCCGGCGCTCCTGGTTGCCGTTGTTAACCAAGAATTGTGGGTCGTTAAATGGAGGGGGTCCCAGGTAAAGAGTGTGGGGGTGCTGCACGGGATGGGGGAGGCCCCGGGAGGCCTGGCACAGGCTGCGTGTGAGTTGGGGGGGTGCTGCAGTGTGACACAAAGCCTCAGCCACCCCAGCCTGGCCCAGCAGCACTTATGAC